CGGTATCCAGTCACACCTCACTCCGTTGTCGAACACGGGCAGCGCAGGCACCGCGCAAATAGCAAGCCTTAGAGGAGGGGGATCTGAGATTTTGACGGCAGGGAGGCTGAGATGGGCATAGTCTCAGAGCCTGTTGGCAAGGCCACGGCCCAGAAGAAGGATTTTAAGTGTGAGGATACTTCACTACTAGTCGCCAGGTTAGTTCTGAGATTGGCTGCCCAATCAGGCCAATCAAGCCGGCGACCCATGACGAGTTGTAGGTGGGCCTTTTGCTCTTGATTTTTTTTTCAGCCGCGGGAGCCTCCAAGAACATCCACTGCAGACCCAAGCAATCAGACCGAAGCCATGCCAGGAGAAGCATATCCGACGAGAGTTTGGGGAGAATTGCCACGCGGTCCAGCTTGCATTGCAGCGCTCGGCGCCGTTAGCTGGTTGTACGGGGTAGGGTATGGGCTGACCTATTCAGCTGTGATGGTTGAGATCCATCGATGTACCCCAAGGCCCTAACCACTCACAAAGGTCACTTGTCCCAAGGTATGACGACAACGAGTGGAAGAAGCACCAGGGCGCACCATCTTTTGCAAACCCGCCGCCGCCGCCCACTATGGTAGCGCACAGCCATCTGAACATCAAAAACTCGGGTTGACATAGCATCCCGCGCCCCACCGATGGCTTCGAGGGACTTGTTCTCCGCATACGAGTAGTAAACCCATAAGCGAACTTCTTTCTCGGCTCGCCAGGCTATTTGGGGCTGCCACTATGCAGTGACCGGGCTCATGGAGGAAGGAGGACGAGGGAGGATGAGGCCCTTGGGTAGGAGTGTATTTGGTGATGCTGCCGAGACTAGACTATCTGGCAGCCGTAGGATTTCGCTTGCACCAATAGATTGGTGGAGTAGGTCGATCGAAATACAATTGCCTGACAAAAAAGACTTGAGGCTGATGTTTCCATTGTCCTTGACAGAGGGATGAGAAGGTCTAACCACTATCGGACCTGTGCATCACAGGGTCAGCTACTGCATCCCATCTGCACTCCATGCAATAGGATCGTCGAGCGGGTGCCAGGAGACAACATGGGAGTTGACAGAACCTTAGTTGGCCTGCTCTCGTGCAAAATGTCCTTTCGAATGCGCATGCTTTCTATTTGGAGCACAGGCGCAGCATGATGCAAAGCTGTTGCGCAGCAGACAGGGGGGGTTGAAAAGAGTTGCGAGGGGACCACTAAGTGACTAGGAATTGGAGGAAAACACCCAAATGGTCAGTTTTGCTAGATGCAGTGGATGGTGGTAGCATGCACGAGTAGCACAAAACCGAAAATGCAGGGAGAGGAGGAAGAGGGCGTGGGCCCATGACAAGCCACGAGAACAACAATGGCCCCCTGTCGTGCCCATGCCACGGCGGGTTGTACCCCAAGTAGGCTGCGGCAGCCGATCGATCTCACATCAATTTTTTTTTTTCATCTTGGTTTCCTCCTTTGGGTGACAGTGTTGACATCAGCTGTTCGGACTGAAAATACCCTCGTAGCTGGTAACCTTTGTCTCGCGAACTTGGGCATCTGCTGTGGCGATGACAGCGAGAGGATTAGGCTGCGTGGCTGCTTCTGAGCTGCAAGCAAGCCCAAGCTGGCTGGGGGATGCCCAACAACAAAGCAAAAAGACAGGTGAATCACGCCAAAAATGCGTTGCAGCAGCCATCAAAGGGTCGAGACCGGGCGAGAAACCCCAGTAAGCCTGTGTCATAGAGTTCGGCCTTGCTGCAAGCCACCTGCGCACCCAATGCACGCCGACCAACTTGGCGCAGTGCAGTACTAGCTGCCGAGTACCTCGTACTGTGCCATTTTTTCTTTCACTTTCTAATCCCCAAAACCCAAATGTACAAACATTAGCACATGAAAACACCTGGTCAGATCGAGCATGAGGGGCCTTGAATGCCACCACTTGACGATGCTCAGCCGCACTCGACTGATCATGTATACAACGAAGACGCACGGACTGTCACCAGGTAAGGCTGGGGGGTGGTGAATCATCCACGCTTCACTTACAGGTGCTAGCTAGGTGGTTACTCTATTCCCACGGTCCCGCGAGTTGTTCCATCAAACCATCTCGATGCCCTGCGCCCTAAAAGGTACCCCCGGCCCTTTTCCGCCCCAGAACGCACCTTGAACAAGGATCCCCAGGCAAAGAGTCAGCCAGTACAACAACAGGGGACAAGGGTCTTTGAAAACGACATCCTACACGAACATGTTTGACGTTGTTGAAATGCGGCCAGATGCAAAGTTTTTCCCTTTCACCGCTGCTTGTTACTTCCTCCAACTGCAAAATTTACAGCAAAGGTGCCCAAGAGACTCTGCGTGCTGTGAAGAGCTGTCTATCACGGGAGATGCCGAATTCCTCTACATCGGAGATCGGGCTCTGGGATTGAGAAAGCCTAGGTATGCCGAGTAGTGATGAATTGGACGAGATGCACTGGCTAGCAACCTCGACCATACCATTTCGGAACTGTTGGCATCCTCATAATATCGCCTCGCCTACGCCTCCATTTTCCCTGCTTCAAGCGAGTTGACCCAGTCGCCTGTTGCTCAGCTTTGGTACTCTCCCTGGTATACCCCGGCTGGTGCCGTGTTGCTGGGTTATTGGGTCGAGCCACCGGCCTTTTCGGCATGAAACGAGTCCAGGGGGAGCCGCTTTCAAGCCTCATCGTTATAACAAGCATATCGGGGCCTGTTAGGTACTTTTTCTCGAGCCCCTATCTGGCCTCTGGAATCCAGCATGCTTCTCATGTCCTAGTGTCCCCCTTTTCTAGCTCGAGCAGCACAGAGCTTCGAGATCTCCATGTTTACATGGCACTTCCTGTATAGGAATTGCAAGATGCCGGAAGTGACACTCTACCGGGCTCCGGTGGGCCGCAGCATCAAGGGCTACTCGGTTCAAACGAGGTCAAATATTTGCTGATCTCGAACCAACTGTGTCATGCCCACGCGTCAGTCTCGTTGAGATCACAAGGCCGATCTTCCTTTCGTCCAACAGTATTGACGAGGGCGTCTCCTAGAAAGGGGGTTTCCCCTCGATATTGTGCCTGCTGCAAACAAGTTTCACATCTAATTCAGATCTAGTCATGTCACTGCCGATCGTTTCCTAGAATCCCATGGAGCTGAACTTCGCCTAAGCGATCAATAATGCTGCCATTCCTGCGCCTCCAGACGCCGAGTGGTGGCCGTAGTAGCAACACATTCCGTTTACCGAATTTGGAGACAGGAAAGAGAGAAAGAGCAAATGTCCCTGTGAAAAAAGACCACGGTGTATCCTTCTTCACCAAAGTCCAATTTCAGACTATGTACGTGAGATGTCAGATTCAGATTAGTGCCAAACGCGGCCACCGCAGTCTCCTCTGCACCCAGTAACTCGTCGATCTCGACATCCAACCGACCACAGTTAAGCGATCATGGCGATGCATCTCTGACCCCAAAAGAGACACCTGAATGTACCCCTTTCGGGTTGCCAGTCAGGATTGGAGAAAATTCTCCGGCTATCCCCACCATTTGTTCATTCTCCCCATCACCTGAGTTGGGTATTGTTATTGCGTGCTGTTTCGGCTAATGACCAACATGTTCAAGCCCCATCAAAGCCACACCAAGCCTCATGTCGCAGAGCCAATCACACCCGTTAGTGAAAGAGCTTTCTACAAGGCCGTGTTCGGACACCCCGTTTTCGATGCTGAAGGATCAGCGCCTTCGATATGCGATCTTGAGGGGTTGTATGTAAATCACAGCCTCCCCCAGTCCTCGACAATCTGAGCTGACCCCTCTCTCATTCTGCAGTCATGTGCTGTGACGCGACCGGCGACACCGAGATCCAATCCTATGCTCCGTCCATTGGCCCCCTAGCAAGAAAAAACATTCCTCTACTGGACCCAGTAAAAGCCGCACAAGATGGGGGTACCCGACTCACTTCCAATGCCCTTATTGTTGCGGCCAGAGACCACATTCTCAAACTCTAACAGGCGCACTGCAAAACAACCCAGGGCGGAGTAGCGGCCAAGAGATCGTTGTCTTCTTTTTTTTGTTTCACTGCTCTGCACGAGATGAGGAGGACAAAATCTTGTACGTAAGGCAGGGAGAAGACCGAAACCGTGCTGGGGGGTCCCGTCGGTTGACTATGCTGTGTACAAGTGCTACAGGTACGAACAAGTACACAAGGTTTGTACAAGTACGGTGCGGATGAACCTATGCGGAGCCTTGGGACTTGAGACATCTCTTTCCAGCTGATATCATACCACGCATCAAGCGCTGAAGTCCACCAGCTCCAGCTTCATCGTTGACGCCCAGTCACCCGAGTCAGACGCCGACGAACTTTAAGCAACTCACAACCCGAATTCCTGGCAAAGTTTATCCCCAAAGCTCGGAAAAAAAGGATTGGCAGAGTCCGAATCAGTGGCAACCGCTTAGGGTGCTAGGTGCGTCCCCAGTAACCCACAAACAGACCCGGAACTCGGACTAGATGCGAAGTGAGGGAAATTTTCTCCATCAATCGTTCAATGGTTGAGTGGAAAGTAACTGACTCGAAGGCCGTTCCTGCTAACGGTCCAGCAAAGCATTACATGGTGAGCCTTCCACCAAATCATCGTCCGCACCGGCTTCGCATTGGATTTTTGGCTGCACGACGAGCACGTTCCCCCCCCTGATGCCAAAGTAAAGAATTTCCCGCACCACCGTTGCGTTTCAACGCCCAGCACAGCCACCCATAACCAACAACTCAGAAAGTGACCGCGTGGGAAAGCAACATTCGTTCGCTTGACATAAAAAGCCCGGCACGCCTAATGCCTCCCCCCGAGTCTTGTTCCCAGTGAGGTTTGCAATTTCCAGAGACCATGAGCTTTGCTGCACATTGCTTGACCAATGAAAGTCCATATCAGTGGTCCGAAGGTGCTCCGAATCAAGGAATGCTGCATAGCGCCGTCCACCCGCTTTGCTGTCCATCAGGCAAGAGCCGGTCAAGATGCCTTTCACCCGACCCAGACCCAGATAATGCCGACGACCACATCCAAGCCTTTGCTATCGGCACCAGGGTACTTGAAGCTCCACATACCATCCTTTTCGTTGTTCCAGTAGGCTCCACTTGCCGCGTGCATGCCTCGACGACCACTCGTTTTCTTTGTGTCGTCGCCGGTCGAGGCCGGAGAGGGGGCCGCGTGCTGGATGATTGTGCTGTTCACCACGTATTTGTATTGTGGTTGGCTGGTCGTCGATGATCCAGGAGCGGGCTTTACCGTTGTCTCTTCCACGAGAGCCCCCAGGATGCTGTTGATGATCATCGTGTTCCAACCTTCAGTTTCTGAGTGCGAGTAAGACGTTGCCCCTGAAAGGGCGGCTTCGCATGCCTGTCCGGCCAGAAACCGAGAAGTTAGCGCCCTGCAATGTACAGCTTTTGGACACCCAGACGGTGGTTGGCCGAAGTGCGACTTACGTTCTCTGTGATCTCCTTGAGACGGGTGTAGGGCACGGGAGGGGGTGCTTGATCCGATGCCATTTTCTTAACAGCGATCTTTCCTCCTGCCACGTATTTGGTGATGTATGTAGATTGGGTTTTGCGGAGCAGATTGTGCGACGCAGTGGAAATGTCGTGTGTAGAGTGTGAGTCTGCTTTGAAAAGCGACGGATGTTCTTTGACAGAGAGTGTGGAAGCTGGGTCGCAAGGGGCAACTGTTGTCACAGAGGACTCTCTCGTGTATGGCTGCTCGTCTGGCCCGTCCCCTGCAGGCCTGCACGCTTTCTCTTCGCCTGGGAGTCTGGTCTCTCGCGGCGCGCTGTCTGGTTGTTCCTGCGACTTACTCGTAGGGCTTCCCTTTTCGCTTCCCACTAGTACCGATTCTCTGAACCTCTCTTCTTCCTTGACCAGCTCGTCCTGCTCACGCTCTCCCTGACGATGTCTAGTTCTCAAACTGAAGGTCGAGGCTTTTCGCGCAAGTCGACGTCGAAACTCGGCGAGAGTCCCGTGTTCTGGAGGATGTTGGGTTTGGCGAAATGTGAAGTTGCGCTTATTGGGACCCAAGTCAAGCAGGTTCGGGTTGGAGTCGTGGTGTTTTCGCAGGCGGTGTCGCTTTGCTGGCTTGCCTGGTTGATCGACTGCATCCAATGCACGTTGAGGTTGATTATTTTGAGAAGGGTCAAAACTGGTAATGGTGGACTTAACCCTCCGCAGTAGAGTCGACATCTTGTCCCCCACTGGCGCCCACGGTGAAGCAGACACACCGACGGGTGCCCCTGGAAAAGGCAAGAAAGCTTAGGAGAGGGGCAGGGCGAATGAGAAGCTTGGGTGAGAGCAGGTGCACTCTCTCCCCGCAGAGGATTGTGTCCCTAGGCGAGTTTTCGCAGCAGCTCACAGGTAAAAGCGAAAGCTTGTTCCTCGAACTTACCCCGAGAGCTGCGAGTCTTTTGGGTTTCCGCAGGAGACCAACTTGTTTTGCAGAGAAAACGACAAGAGGTTACAACCATACATATGTTATCGCTTTCATAACTTTGACCAATCTCCCCAAAACCAAGCTCCATCAGCAGCACTGTTACCAGTTTATAGCTATCCCAGTATACGACAGGCCGAAAATGTCCGAACAACCACTTCTTCAGAGCGCCCCCGGTAAGGTTGCTTGCTCCAATGCCCACCCATCCCGGGTCTTTTGTTTGAACGCATGACTTTTGCGACTAACAGTTTCAACCGGGCCAGGCAAACGCATCGCCCTGCCGACACGCGTCGAGCCCAAGGTCTTCTTTGCCAATGAGCGGACCTTCCTCTCGTGGCTCAATTTCACCGTCATCCTGGGAGGGCTGGCCGTCGGCCTCCTCAACTTCGGAGACTCGGTCGGCCGCATATCCGCGGGACTCTTCACCCTGGTGGCCATGGCGGCCATGATATACGCACTCGTCACGTTCCACTGGCGAGCGAAGGCTATCCGAGTCAGGGGCCAGGGTGGGTTCGACGACCGGATTGGACCGACTGTGCTGGCCGTCGCCCTTCTCGCAGCTGTCATTGTCAACTTCGTGCTTAGGGTGGTCGAGTCGTAGGCATGGCGGCTCGAACGTGGAGAACAGAAACAGGCGGTGGCCTACCGATGAGGACGACAAGCCCGAGCCGTTGACAGAATGAAAGAGAGGGAGATATGGACACATGGAAAGAGAGTAGAGGGCTTGGGAGGGCCGCTTTGGGGTCGAGAAGAGAGCAGAACAGAAATCTGGCGACGGATCTACGGTGGCATTCATTGGTGTGGGCGTTGTACTCTGGCCTGGAGCTCTAGACTCCCGAGCTTCCTGCGCCTTTGCAATATCCGAGCATCCCTCTTCTGGAGGTGCTTACTTGGGGGGCAGGTTTATCACGCGCAGACCAAAAAAGAAAAGAAAAAAGAACAGAAAAAGAAAACAACAAATCAATAGTGCACCAACAGAGCATACTTGACACCTGTAATTGATCCTTTTGTAGGCGATAAGTCCTATCTCGACTTCGTCGATACGTCGTGCTGATGTATCTTTGGTTTTTTGAAAAGGACATGTAAAGCTACCTCTGCCCGTGTGCTACATTACGGTCCCGGCCTTGTGTTCCATGATCACGATAATCGCTACCAGCTGTCCCGTTGTTCACAAGGTAGGAGGCTCATTCATCAAACTCCGAGCTCCCTTCCAGGTCCCATCTCCTGTCCGTCCCCCAAGTAGAATCCCCTGAAAAAAAGACTCTGTTCGATCCACGACTGTCCTAAACCTGTCTCTCAATATCTTCCAATCATAGCGAGCAAAGGATAGAGCATTCCTACGTTCCGTTGGTGTTACGACTGTCAGGGTACAACAGACTCAATGCTACTCCGCCATCCTGGTCGTCTTCAGTGTCGGGTTCACCACTGTCAATTCCATTTTCCTTGCACTCGAACTCATCCACGTCGTTCCCCTCCTCCCAATCCGTTCCCTAAGGCGGATTGCTGTAGTCATTCAACGCGACACATACCGCGCCCCTGTGATGGCCGCTATACTGCCTGATGATCTTCCCCGTTAGGATCTCCCAGAGGCGAGCGTAGTGGTCGGAGCAGACAGTGACAAGATACGCCGAGTCAGCGCTGAAGGCACAATCCCAGACCCAGCGTTGGTGGATGTCCAATATGGCGTGACAAGGGAGCGGACGGCGGAGGGAGATGAGGTCTGTGGTGGGGCGGAATTGTTGGGAAGCAGTCGAGGCGAGAGAAGGAGTGGAGTGGGACAGTTTCGGGTCTGGGGAGGAGTCGGTGTGCTTGTCATTCTCGGCACTCGGCAGGGAAGGTTGCGAGTGCGAGAGTGTGATTGTGTTGGGATTGTTTGGGAGTGGTCCTGTTTGCTTTGTTGGCGCTTCTTGCTGTTGCTGTGATATTGGTGGGTTCTGGGGTTCATTGAGATCTTCCAAATGTTCCTCGTTCATGTCGATCTTCCAGACTCGCACGGTGTGGTCGGAGCTACATGTCGCGAGGTATTTTATATCTGGCGACAGAAGAAGGCGCGTGAGGTAATCCTTGTGGGCCTTGAATGCGCGGCAAGGGAGAAGGGTGGTTGAGTCGTGGTTTTGATATACGCGCCAGATGTAGACGTCGCCCTAGAGAAGCATTGTGAGCTTTGCCTTGTTGTCGAAACCCAACATCCTTCAACCTACCAGATTGTTTCCCGCAGCCAGTAGAGAGCCATCGCTCGCAACGCTCACGCTGGCCATGGAGATGTCTTCCACAGGGACAAGCTGATGGGTACACCGACTTGCGCCCAAATCCCAAATGCGAATATTCCCCCCTCGGTCACAGCTGACCAGCTCTCCTTGATTTGGATGAATCACCACGTCATTTACTGGATGCGAGTGTTGATAGTTTCTCTGAACCATCCCCGACCTGGTATCCCAAACTCTTACTGTGCAGTCTTCAGAACTAGTGACCATCCACTTCCCTTCACAGTGAAACGCGACACCAGTCACATTGTTCGTGTGGCCCTCGAACTGCATGATAGGGTTGGGATTGCTGGACTTGATGTCGTAGAGGCGCACCATATGACGACCCGCAGCCGCCAGGTACTTTTTGTCTGGGGTGATACATAGTCTGTTGACTTGTGATTCCGGATGTTGGATTGTTCTTGAACATATCCCTGACAGTGCTTCCCAGAATCTACAGGACACGAGCAAAGGTCAATATTGAAAGCGAAGGTGAGGGAACAAGGCAGGGGGCGCACCTAATAGTATGGTCATAGCCAGCTGAAGTAAGGATTAGCCTCTTGCCCAACATTTGCGACAGCGAGAAGAACAATACCTGTACACAATATGACGCTCATTTTGACGGCTCATGGCCCCCAGGCACCGCCTCTGATGTCGAGCTTTGTACTCGGTACAGCTTTCAGTCTTGTGAATGCTGGTTGTGTTGATGCACAGGCTGGAGATGGAGATGGGTGCGGGGATGAGATTCTTTTGTGACGACCAGTAACGCCAGCCTCGTGCCTCAAGGCGTCAGAGCCTCGTAGTCCCACAGAAATGCAGCCCGCTGCTTTAAGACAGGCCGCCGATAAGCGAGCCAATGAGCGATGCACAAAAATAAGGCTTGTTCTCGCTTAAATATCTCCGTGTGTGTGTGGACTCTTTCCGACTTCATCTCTCCATTCATGCTTGTATATATATCAAATCATATGGCCGTCAATGTCGCCCACACAGACGCCGTCGCTCCCAGACCGCCACCGCAAGGCCATCAGTTGAGGGGTCTTCTCAACAAAACGCCAGCAATGTTGACCATCATGCTCTTGTTCCCGATTTGTACAGTCCAAATGATGGTCCCGCTCTTGCACGAACCAGGCGGGTAAACAACGGTTGAATAAGTCTAGGTTGGTTCAAGAGGTGGAAGCTTTGCAGCCGTGCTTTGCAAGTTGACAAGACGTGTATTTTTTTTGGTTCGGTGTGGCTCCTTATGCCATGGACTGCTTTTTGGGTTTTTGCTGGGGAGACGTGGTCCCAGAATGGCAGCACCAAAAGGTGAGTGGTAACTAAAGTATGGAACCACTGGATTGACCGAGACAGTCCAGGTGCGAACACACGGTCTGCGCCCTGTACCAGAGTTTGTGTTCTCGTAACAGAATGTTGCGGTGTCGCGGGCGCGCTGGCCGTCCACGAAGCAGGCCCCTTTTGTCGTGCCTTGAGACAAATTTTCTGCTTGAAGTGTTCTTCTCTTCATGACCGACCTTACCATCCTGCTTCCTCCTGGGTATTGAAATTCACTTCATCAGACACGACATCTACACCTGGAATCGTCAAGATCCAAACGGCATGAAAACTGCGCCCTCCTCAATCCCGTTTGCTGCATACAGAAAGTGAGCTCTGCGGATCTTCACAGGTTAGTAGAATTTGAATCATGCATATTGCCTGACCCTAGTAACACCGTGTGTTGTGCAGTGAAGACTTCTTTGTGCACTACCCTCGTACTCCAAGAGGCGTCACCCCTTTCGATCTCCGCCAGTCAATTTTACGGACACGATCATCACAGATTTCATTCAATCTGTTGATAGACAGCCTCATCCAATCTTGGACAGATTTACAAGATCCCTTCGGACCCCGTCATCCACATCGACTTAACCCGCACCTGAGAGAGAGAGAGACAAAATCAGCCAATACAGAGACCTGAGCGACAATTAAGGACTCTTTCTCTCTTCAACAACTTCATCGGAGCTCTAGTCGACATCAACACCTTTCCATATTGCAACGCTTCACGGATCAATCATGGATCGAAACTCAAAGTACCACACGGGTTTCATCTACAACGACTTCACAGGAAATGCCACCAACAGCGTGCCCAACAGCCAAAGCTCGAATCCTTTGAACAACGTCAGTCACGTTCAACAACATCTCAAGGGAACACCGAATCACACCTTCCAGAATTCTCTTGCTATGAACAATTCTCTTCAACCGCTTGTTCCCCTGGCCCAGAGTTCAATGGAGTATGGAAGCCCGCTTCGACCGCAAACTATGGGAATACACAGCATCTCACCTCAAATGCCCAACCCGAATGGCAGTCCACTTGGATCTCATCAGATACAAATGCCAGGCAACATACTACCGTACATCGAAAATACTGGCAACGGTCTTTGGAACATTCGTCCTCCAACCCAGAACAATCTGCTTGGATTGTCAGCCGCAAGCGGCGTTGGACTTCAGGGCGAGCAAATGACCAACGTCGTTGCCCCAGATTCATACAACGATGCATACTTCACCGAAACCAATGCCATGGGAACGCAAGACTTTCTCGGTCCGATTGACAACAGTGTCCAGGACTTCACTGCCAATCTGTTCGATCAGGAGCTGGCCAAACTCGACCCTGTCTCTGCACACTTCCAAGAACTTGGCCATGACAACAATCAAGGAAACACCCTCCCCCCACAAGGCCAGCGAGACGACACCACTGGACAGACGCAAATTCAGGAGACTGTGCACATACTGCAGGCCGAGGTACAAACATACAAGGATAAAGTCTCTTCGCTCGAACAAGAGCATGGCACAACAGTCGCAACGCTTCAGCAACAAATCAGCGAGCTCAAGACTGAGAACGCGGCCCTAGGAAAAGATGCTATTGTAGCCACAAGCTACTATAACACTCTTCTAGGCCGATATGACTTCTTGATCGGACCGGACGGCAGACTCTTTCCAGTGATCCCTCAGACCATGCAGCGGGCAATTGTGGCGAGCAATCGACTAAAGCCACCACTTCAACAGAATTACGAAGCCAAACTGCAACGATTGAAGCAGGAATATCGAGGTGTACTTCTCAGAGCTGACATCTGCCACTTGTGCTCATTGCACCACAACAGCCGTATTCGCCTGCGAGCTCCAAGCGTGGAAAGGGCTGCCCTTCAATTCATTGACCTCACCACCGATGACGAAGAACCTGTTCCAGTCTTGCGAAGTGACTCCATTCAAGATTTTCTAGCCCGTGCTGCTCGCAACGAGCTAGCTCAGAGCAGCAGCTCTGGCGGACAGACAATGGCTGCCGTGCATGCAACAACATCTTCCCAAAAGACGGCGACCTCTGCCGCAGTTCCGCCAGCAATCCAAGCTGCATCCTCAAGCGCAGGAAGCACTCAATCTCTGGCAGCTGAAACCGCAAGACCAAGACCGCTCGATACACCACCTTCCGAAATGGAAGACATCAACCTCGCAAAGCGCCAGAAACGCAAACAGTCTGACTATGGCTGGATGCAACCAAGTCAAAACCTTGCGCTGAGGAAGGCAAGGGGCGACCTGCCTCATCCTCAGGACGAGTGGAGTCTTCAGCAAGCTGGGAATACGACCACTGGATTTCTTGATGCCGTTGCTGTCCACAACGCCGCAACGACCACACCAGCTGCAGACCCCCGGTCCTCGATCCAAAAGTCGAAACCAGCACCAGCTTTCAACGCCGCGTCTGCTGCTCCCAAGCCTTCAAAGGTCACCAAGACCAAAGCAGCCACACCAAAGAAGCCCACCGCTCGCGGAAAGGGCAAGGGAAAGGCCAAAGCATCAGCAGCACTATCAGCGGATCTCACCACCACTCTCACCGGCCTCAACAGTGTCACCTCAGCCACCAACATTTCTAGATCGAGCAGCGCCCGCAAGACTCTTGCAGTCGACATTCTTCCCGAAGAGCCTGCTTACGTCCGTCCTCAAACACCAAGCCCTCCACCACGACCCACTATTTCAACCACAGACATGGATGCCGAGTACGAAACCGACGAGGATATGGAGGCACAACTCAGAGATTCCGACTTGATGGTCATTGACCACAACGAACAATACCCGCTGCCCGAAGACAACGAGAACCCACAAGCGACAACATTCTGGGAAGTCGACGACGGAGAAGTGGCAGACATCATCGCCCTGTTGGAGGAACCCCAAGAGCAGCAGACCATGGACTGCCCAGCCAAGGAGAGCGAGAAGGGCTCGGCTCAGGGCCAAGCAAACGCGACCGCGGACTTTGAACAGGAATTTGCGGAGGACAACGGCGGTATTGGAGATGCGAGTGGGGATGCAGACTTTGAAAGCCTCTTCAACTTCGACGATGCGGAAGAGGACCTCCCGATGACGACGTGGCCCGGCGAGGACGAGGAGAGCGAGGTGAGCGAAGAGGAATAGATGGATCGGAGGAGAGACGGAGAGAAGGAGGGGAGAGATGGAACAATGGAACAATGGAACGAACATTGAGTGATGAATGAATGGGATGGGTCATGAACGACGAGCGACGAGTCCGACTGATGAATGAACGAATGAGTGATGGAAAGATGTGCTGTGAACGAACGGCGCAAGGACTGCAAGGACAGTGAGTTGGCCTGGGAGATGGACTTCCGGCCTACGAGGGCAACGCATGGGTGCGAACAGGGATGATTAACGTTGTGTTCGCGACAGGACGGCAGAGCTACGAGACGGAATACGTGCAGAGTGGATGAGCTGAACGGACTTGCGTATTGGTGGAAAGAGTCTGTTCCGTACAGCACGAGCGCGGAGAGAGAGTCTTGTGGTTGGTTTACATAGATAGGCAAGGTTCGATCAGATCCGATCCCAGACAAGCGCCGACAATCAGATCGATCCAGCTCCCTCCCAGAGTCTTCTTCTTCACCGTCTCTTCTTCCTCCCAATCCCACTTCGATTGCTTCCTGCGCGACTCGCGGCAGATATGACGCTGGCAGAGCGCTTGTGGGCGCGTGCCGGAACACTGAGAGCTGCAGGTTCTTCGTCTGGTTGCTGCTCTTCCTGCTCCTCCTCAGCATCGTCATCATCATCATCCGAGTCGTCGGCCCCTGCTGCGGCGGGCCCATCATCGTCTTCGTCTTCGTCTTCTTCCTCGTCCTTGTCTTCTTCGTCTTGATTGTCAATTTCGGCTTCATTGTCCGAGTCCGCATCGCCCTCGTCGTCGTTTGCTTCCTCGTCAGACTCTGCCTCCACATCTGGCTCTTCATCCTCATCCTCATCCCCATCCTCGTCCGCATCGCTCTCATTCTGCGGTGTCCCAGTAACCTCGCCATCTTCATCCTCTTCGTCTTCATCAATATCAGCTTGACCATCCTCTCCACCTTCTTCGGCATCGTCGTCATCTTCCTCATCCTCTTCGTCGACACCCGTAACACCTTCTTCATTCTGCTCCTCGTCCTCGTCGTCGTTATCTTCACCTGTTTTAGCTTCATCGCTCTCTTCTTCTTGATCTTCGACTTGTTTCGAAGTGTTATCTTGGGCTGTGTCCTGTTCCGCCGCCGCGTCTGCGTTTGCTTCTGCTTCATCTGCTTGTTTGCTTGCTGGTACAGCGTTCTCGTCCTTCACATCTCCCGCGCCAGAACCCTTCTCATCAGCCTTTTGCGCTGGGACATCGTCCTCGGCTTCAGCGTCCTGGTCCTCCTCAACCACGGCGACGGAGCCGTCATTCGTGGCTTCAATCTTTGAATCGTTTGCCACTTGAGAATCGTCGACCTCCATTGCATCTGCGGTCGTAGGAAAAGAAGGCTGGACAGGGTCCGAAGGAGCAACGGGCCCGGCGTCTTTTGGCAATCCCAACCTAATCCGCCTGGCCTCCTCCAAAATCTTGATCTCGGTCGCAATCTTCTCGTTCACTTTCCTACAGTCTAGCAGCATATTGATCTCGGTGACCAACCGCTCGAACTCTCGGCATACTCGTTCCGTGGGCATAAGCAATCGAGGTGGAATTCCTAATTCTGTCAAAGCAGCCTGAATCTTGGTTGTTTGAGTCTGGCTCTTGGCCATAGTGAGGCGATTGATCTTCTCATGGCGGAACTGCACGCCGCTTGTGATCCTTTCCTGTGGATGCGAGACACCGAACCGTGCCTCCTCTTGAGGCGACAAGGTTCGAACACTGGGCTGAGACGTTGAGCCTTTCTTTTGTGCGCTGGGCGCATCATCGGTAGCCTGCGTGTCGACTGTGTCTCGTCGGTTGTATTGAGGTGGATGTCTGCCCTTCTCGTATCTCTGCGATTCGGTGGGAGTGGAAGCGGCGCCCGTCTCACTGCTGCCAGGAACTGGCGGCCGCTTCAGCCTCTTCTCTTTGGCGAGAAGGCTCTGCAGTAACATAGAAAGTCCTCCGGAAGTTTGATACATGGCGGTAGACTGTTCCTCTCCCCTTTCGGTTCTTCTAATAGGCGCCACAGGTTCGAGTCTCGCATACAGATCCCGTCTCATTTTGATGAAGTCGTCCTCGTTCTTAGTGATTCGGTGGAGTTCTTCGAGAAGAATTCGCTCCTCATCGGCTTCGTCTTTGGTGCGTTCGAATAGTTTCTCCGCCATCGCTTTCCTCATTGTTTCAGTCTTTGCATCAAAATTGCGCATCTTCTCCCAGAGTTGAAATTCAGCCTGAGTCATTGTGCTTGCTGGAGTTTGCGCTTCCATAAGCTTTGCGGCAATGGCATAGTATCGTTGCTTGAGGGCTTCCATAGAACGCTGGGGAAAATGAGGTTTCACCACAAGTTCGCTGCCACTTGCATTAGCCTCTCCATCTTGAACCGGCGGTTGGGGAGCTTGAATATCATGTGGGTTGTATCTATCGCCGATAACAATCCATCTCAAGTCGTAGTCCCGGCACAGGTCCATGAGATAATCGGTCTCCTGCCGCGTCCAGTCCTCTGACTTTAGCATGTTCTCATACTGCTCATCCGTGTAGGCGGGTATCTGGACCTTGACGTTCCACTTGTTTGACGGGTACTCTTCTTCAAACTGTAATTCTTGCGCAGCGGGGGATGCCTTTGATTCATCTGTCATTTCTACATCCGCCGAGCCATTCGTAACAACTGGCGTGCGGGCGTTCGAGCCGGGGATGGACCGTTTCCAGTGTCTCAGCACCAATCCGTCAGTCCTCCCACCATGCACAAATGGTCTCTCCTCCCAGTGACGCGGCTTGAACAATTTCTGGGAGATGGACGGTCTCGATTTGTAGGAGCGTTGTTCGACGATGGCGATGGGAGGGACCGAATCGCCCATGAGAGCTTGTACTTCTCGCTTTACACCGGTGACGCGCGAGTGAGGATCAACATGTTTTTTCTTCTTGGGCGCAGGCTGACGGGGCCCTGCCTGGCCCAGATTCATGATATCGCGAATGTCGTTCGTGGAAGCCATCTTGCCAGGTAGACGCAGGATCGATTGTCGGTCAACAGTTTTTTATGTCGGGCGTAGTTTTGCCTCGCCCATTTATGAGCGTCTTGCGGAAAGTGACACACCAGTCAAGCAGAAAAGAGACGGATGCGCAGACACGATGAGAGCGAAGGACGTAGTGGATGCATCCCAGCAGAGAGATTCGGAGATATTTGAAATGACGCCACACGTGACCACAAAGTCATTTGAAACACGCCTACGAGGCTGTCGGAGGCTGCAAGGCTGCGCAGCCCTGACACATGTTGACTTTTGATTGGCCATCTTTAGTACGTAAAGCAGCGCGTACCACGTTCTCTGAGAAAAAGGGGCCCTGCGCTCTGGATCTCGTTGTGTGTCCCCTGGTATTGAAGTTTGGACATTTTGTTCAATTGATTTTTCCTGCGCCATTGCCGTTATTTCTCAGCGTCAGATCTACGTCCGATCAATCACGACGAGTGACGTGACGAGAGCAAGATGAAATCCTTACTTGCGACTTTCGCCGCAGTCACTTCGATCCTCATACCCTCAACACAAGCACTATATTTCTATCTCGATGGCACGACGCCCAAGTGCTTCTATGAAGATTTGCCGAAGGGCACTCTAGTCGTCGGTATGTCAAGAATTGATTGGTTTTATCGTTTGATGCTTGTGGTGTTCCAATTATCGGAATACCGCTACTGGGATGGACACCCTGTCCGAGCACGATTCTACCGCGAAGGATCTCCCAGGTGGAAAGAGAAAAAAAGACAACCAGACACTGATTTGATGCTGGAAATACAGGAACATACAAATCCGAAGCCTACAACCCCCAGACGCAATCCTTCTCAGCAACGCCCGACCTCAACATTCACTTCACTGTTGAAGAGACCTTCGACAACGACCACCGGGTCGTAACCCAGACCACGCAGTCCTCAGACAAATTTTCAAAGTTCACATTCAGTGCCGCGGACGCGGGCCTGCACCGACTTTGCTTTACGCCCTCTGGACCCGCGGCGATCAGTGTGAATGGATGGTTCGGAAACGGCGGGAATGTGTTGGGAGGAGTGAAGTTGACCGTCGACATGGCCATTGGAGAGACGAGTAAGATTGAGAGTGAAGACAAGGGCAAGATCGACACCATTGTCGGCAAAGTACGGGAGTTGAACGGGCGGTTACAAGATATCAGGAGGGAACAAAAGTTTCAAAGGGTAAGTCGAGACCAACACACACACACACACAGCCACCGTTCATACGTCTCCCCTGCTTAGGGCTCCTTTTCGTGGAGAGTCGCTGATCCAGAACGTGTGATTAGGAGCGCGAAGCAGAATTCCGCGATCAAAGCGAGGCAGTCAACGCGCGAATCGTCCGGTGGACGTTGATCCAGCTGGGCGTCTTGGGCGTCACCTGCGCGTGGCAGCTGTCACATCTGAGATCATTCTTCATCAAGCAGAAATTGACATAGATTGCTCAGTCCTTGGACGAGCATTTGGCGGCGTTGGAGCCCAACAACGGACTAACTGTATTCATGTGATTTGCACTTGACCTGGGGTATGGACTCTAAACAGAGAGAAACGGACCGAACCGCCTTTTGCGGAGGACAGGACTGACCCGACTCTGTTGATCAGTAAGTCGCACCAAGTCCTTGTCCGTTCGAGTGTCTGTCGACAGCCTCATCATGTCATATAAAAGAACCCAGTTCATGGGTGTTTGGAATGGAATGAGAAGAAAAAGATTCATAATATGCTACGCTATGCCGTCAGAGGGTCTATCCTGTTCGCCTTCTGCTTTCCAATTTCCCTATGCTTTTTTAAAAAAAAACCCCCCAGACATACAATGAGAACGCCTCCAACAGACACGTGTTATTGCCGTACACGGACCCGCCCTGGACTGAACCAGCCCTTCAATATCCCCGTCTCGCTCTTGGCCCAGCAATACTTGAACCAGAAGAAGATCCGATCCCCATCCGGCTGAGTGTATTTGAAATGCCCGTGCTCTCACGCCGTGGGAATCTGCCACCTCCACCTAGTGATAGAGCATCAACACCCAATGTATTTCGACTTGAACTTTGTGATTGACGATCCCGACTAACCGAAGACCTTGTCCTCGGTGTTGTCGAAAGAGGGTCGGATGAATCGGTGTATTCAAACCGATAATGCTCGGGTCGTGGGGTCTCCCATGCTGTGGTGGTGGTAGTCGTGGACATTGACTTCAGACTCTCCACCGAGTCGCTTGAATCTGTTCGTGGGAGCTGAGGCACTGGCGCCGCTGCAGCGCCGGGGTGTGGATTTGGTGACTTTTGCGTCTGTAATGCAGGGATTGACTGTAATGGGGCAGCGTTATGTAAAATGTGTTGACGGTGAACCTGGGGTGCCCAGTGGTAACGAGTCAGTGTCAGGAACTCTTGAGGGAGCAGCAGAGCCACGACCGCAATGGCGAGCTTATCCCATACATTCCTAAACAGTTCCCCAAACCGCTCCTGGACCATGGCAACCCCAATCAAAACGACTGCTTCAAAAGCGTACATAAGTATTCTTGCGGCTTGACCATGAATACCATTCAGACAAATAACGATGGTGATGTGACCCAACGGTACGACCACACTGAGAAGGACGGTGTAATAACCCAGTTGGGAAGTCTTAGGCCTCATGGCAGCTTCGGAGAGCCATGCCGCTAAGCCTACTGCGAGCGAGAGGATTGACCAGCAGCTGAAGAGTTTTGGTATTGACAGAGCTTCCCCCTTGTTTAACTGGTGACGACTGGGCTCTTTTCCTGATACAGGCTTGGAGAACTTTGGATCCGATTTGGATCCAGATTCAGGCTGATCTAGGGACGAATCCTGGAGAGAGAAGACGGTATCAAAGATGCTTTCCAGGCCCGTGTCGGCATGTCGCTCGTGCCCGAAAAACTTTGGTGGCGCTATGGCCTCGCTGCCAGTTCCAGTCTGACGAGGGGGAAACAACGACTTCTGTGACCTATCAAAAAACCCTGGCGGGAGACCAATGGCCTCTCTACCAGCCCGTGCTTGACTCTGATTTTTGAGGACTCCTTTCGCATTCAATGCTGGTAGTTTTCCGTGAAATGGCGTGGGCTCGGTTGCTGTGTACCGAATCTGCTTGAGCTCAGGTTGGAATGTCGGCTGGGATGGTGTCCAGTCCATTGCTTCAGCATTGTCTGGTGGGGGCGTGGGAGGATTCCATGCCTGATAAGCTGGTCTTGCAGGTGTTCCCAGACTGTGGATGTTGAAGGGCTCATTCGATGGTTGTTGGGGTTCTGGTTGTTCGAAAGGCGCAGGAGGGCTGAATTGGGTGCTTGACAGCAAAGGGGCAGGGTCATCGTGCCAATTAATCTGAGGGCCAGACTTGACTGTTGTAATTCCAAAAATCGACCAGCCTGCAAGCACGGTGATTGCGACCGCGAAACAGGCATGCAAGATTGCTCCCATTCGCAACGATAGAGGGACATGGAACAAGATTATCCAAGCGCTGAACCGCAGCCCCAGAAGCAGAAACTGCGCCAGATAATACTCGTTCAGGCCCGTCAATCGCTGATCATTGTTGGACAACTTGTGCTGCCACTTTGGATTCCACCAGATACACAGCAGGCCCAATACCAAAGATAGTCCCACAATGGGCTCCATCATTTCTGCGCATTGGCGGACACAGTGCAGTTGTGAGAAACATTCGACAGGTTTGAGTTGTCGATTCGACGACCCTGCAACCACCTGAGAGCCATACAGATGCCAGAGCACTTGTAAGGTCAGACTAACTGTATGGCCCAGTCCCGCGCCACTGAGAAGAAGACTTCTCCACCCCCATCGACTGGCCACCCTTCTTTGTCGTGATTTTTCCAGCACCCGTCGAAGGTGGTCACTTCTGGCATTGTACGTAGCCTGATGCAACTGTGCTCTGACTTTGGGTTCGCACTTGGCACAGCATTGCGGGTAGCGTTGTTCGAGTCCTTTCTTGTACTCTGGGAGTTGGGCCTCCAGTTTCTCGTACTCGGGGTGGTCAGGATCTGGAAGGAATTGGGAGAGGTTGTAGGTATATAACTGTTGGTTCTTCAGACATGTCGAACAGAATACCGAGTCTTGTGAGGAGAAGTCGTCGGAGAGAGGGTTCGTAGCGACAGGTTGCGCGAAACGCTGAGCTGGGGCGGCTTCTTCTATGGGGACATCGGCTATCTCCCCGTTCTATGCGACGTGTTAGTGGCACCACACCTCCAAAGGAGAAAATGGACATACCTCATCGAAGAAATTGACGGCAAGGCAGTGCTCGCATTGAAACTTGCGACCAGGTTTCTTCCCCGCTGGCAATTTCGATCTGCGCCCACAGTAGTGACAGTCCAGACGCCGGCGGAGTGTGACAGGCATGACTGCGTTCGCATGGTTGTAGAAACTAGCTAATGGGTGCCTGAGATGCGTTCATATAGGCCTGCTGTCCGACAAACTATTGTACAAGGAGGGGGATCCAAGAGACAACGCATCAGAAATCCGTCCTTGTTTCCAAACCTTTTGGCAGTCAACTGTCTACCATTTTGGGTTTAGCTTGTCTCGGGGTTAAACTATTTATCACCGAACAAATAAAACACTCCGCCCGCTCAGAGCCTCGTCAGCCTTGCGCTCAACAACGACGACCATGTTTTACTGCCAGCACCTTCTGGTTTAGGGTACACGTCGTGCTATATCCTGAGACAATCAACCTTGAACATGCTGAGTCTTCCCAGAATCGAACTCATCGCCCAGCTCCTGGCTCGAAATAGACAGAGACCCTGAGTCAAATCTCAGGTTCTGAGGGTGACTTGATCACCTCAGCCATGGAGTTTCACAAGACACAAATGAAACAACAACGAGGCCTATTCCCTGGCGGAGCAATCATTTCGATCGCCATGCTCGCACCACTAACTGCCATCTCGCCATTCCGCCAGCCGTTGCCTTTCATATTCGCCAGCACTTTCATCTTGATCAGCTTGTCATTCTTTCGGCTCGTCCAGGTGCTCCATCGGCCACCAATATCGCGACGTCCTCCGCCCTCGTCGAGAAATCCAACTCATTTGTTGGTTGTGCTGGGCTCGGGAGGGCACACGGCAGAAATGCTGAACATTCTGAGCCAATACCGCCGACTGCCGCTTGACTTCACCAGGCGGACCTACGTGGTGAGTTCGGGGGATGAATTCTCGGCCTCGAAAGCAAGAGATTTTGAAGCCGAGATGGCGTCAAACCTGAAGGCGTCCTCGTCGTCCTCACAATTTTCCGAAGAGACGCTCCAAAACTACAGCGTCGTGACGGTTCACCGCGCGCGACGTGTTCATCAGTCCCTGCTCACGACTCCCCTTTCAAGTCTCCGGTGCTTGTACGACTGCCTCAGCGTCCTTCGCGGCACACATCGAGGATTCCAATCACAACCTGGAGGCAGTGATCCACCATCCTATCCAGATCTGATCCTGACCAACGGTCCCGGAACCGGGGTGATCGTCTTCTTCGCCTCTGTCATCCTTTTATTCTTTGGTTTCTCTGGTCCCACGGCACCCCGCTCGCCTGTCAAGGACGCCACAGCGCACTCGGACCCTCTTTCGACGCAGAATACCTCCACTGCAAGCTCCGGCGAAGGGTCTGCTCAGTCCGGGCAAATGCGTACCATCTTCATCGAGTCGTGGGCCCGGGTGAAAACCCTCAGCTTGAGCGGGAGGCTGTTGAGACCGTTTGTCAATCGGTTTCTCGTGCAGTGGCCCCAGCTCGCCGAGAGGCAAGGGAGAGCCAAGAACGTCGAGTTTGTCGGGAGTCTGGTCACTTGACGAAGACGAAGTGGGAGATTCTCATGCGATGACTATGTTCTGCTCTGACGAACAAATGGGATATGTAACCTGGGCTCAAAAGATCGCTCGCTCAACGATAGCTACCAGCGCGAATGGAAGGGCCTTTACGATCTTCGCAAGAGAGTAAACGAGACCGGGCATAGTCAAGGGCAGAGGCAATCCCGAGCAAGTTTGGAGTAGCTGAAGCAGCGCGTTGCCCGCAAGAGTCTTACTCGAGTTCACAAAAGCTTTCTCTGCAAGCCACACAAGCTGGAACCGGTGGTGACACCATCACAAGTGTGTCTGCAGACATTCGGCACAATCAACGACGAATACAAGCACACGACAGCACGGCCGCGATGGAAAACAAGGGCTAATTAACAAAGGATGAACTCAACCAACACTCCCGACTTCATTAAAGGTCCATTGGCAAGAGGAACTTGCTCATGCTGTCGTCCCAGGGGAGTGTCTAATATTTTACATGTACACTGCCACCACTAATCGGTGACTACTCTCCATCCTAGCTGTTGATTTTACATCCAAATACAAAGCTTTTGGCGGACACATCAGGCCCATATGACAATATGGCTCAAGAAGTCGGGTGCAGAAAGTGATAGTGACATGCCTCTTGGTAGTCGGAATTTGTCCATCACTCCGCCATTCTCCGTCTCCTTCTTTCCCTTGCTGCCTTCATCTCCTCCAACAAGAGCTTCCTCGTCTCTTCGCTCATTCCGGCTTGCTTGATCGCTTCAGCCCTCTGTGCTACCGTCTTGAGTTTCTCCTCGGCCAACTTCGCTAGGGGACCTTGAATCTTCCGCTCCTTGAACCACTCTGCACGAGCGTCCTCCAAGATCTTCATTCTCACATACTCATCTTCGTGCCATGCCCTATCTCGCCGGTACTTGTCCTCTGCTGTCAGGTCGTCAAATATCTCTGGAGAGGGAATAGGAGGTTGGTATATTGTGGGCGTCCAGGTTTGTGACTCGACATCATAGCGTGTAGTATCTCCTTCAAAGGCTTGGTATTTGGGAGCTTCGACTTCCGGCCAGGGGATCTGAATATCTTCACCTGCGACGTACCGTGTATGTCGAGGCAGAGGCGAGTTAGGCTCGCGTTGGAAGTAAGGTGGACCGCCACGGATGTGCTTTACGATGACATCTCTGTCGCGTCCAGTAGCAGGATCGGTGAGGCGGTACACAAGTCGTACGTCGGAGATGGACACCGGCAACTCGAGGGAGGAGAAGTGTATTTTGTCGCGCTGTTCGCCGAAGCTCTCGGGTATCTCAACATCGGCCTGGTTGAAGTTAGATTCATAGCTGCAAAAACCAGCGCATAGTCCAGGAGACGTGTCCATACCATGTTGAGACCTTCGATTCTCAGCTCCTTCGAATCGCTGCTGACATCCTTGACCTTGCCAATTTGTCCGATCAATCCCTCTTTCCCCTTGACAATGCAGACTCGGTCTCCCTCCACAATATTCCCTTCGTTTCCGAACCCCTCCCACTCTTTCTGTTCCTCCTCTGATCCTTCGCCTCCGACAGGGTCCCACCCATTACTCCTTGGTCCATGCCTGACCTTGGTGGGAAAGACTGGCCCTTGGTAGAGTAGGTTGCTCACAGTGCCATAGAAATCTTGCTTTGTGCCAACGTCGCGTTTCGGTGCTAGCGGGCCCATGATCCAATCCTCCCGCCGGGCTCTGCGCTCAGCTTTGATGTGCCCATTTTTTACTTTCTCCGTCTGGATCAGACGAGCCTCGTACTCTTTCCAGTCATCTCGGAGTTTTTCGTAATTTTTCCGCCGAGAAGCTTTGAGTGTTTGATTGCGGGCTTGGAGGTTTATGCGTAATATTCGCTGCATCGTGTAGATTTCGACTGCGGCCGCTGTCGCCCGTTATGAGGCAGTCACAGTAGAGGTTTGGGAGCGAAACACGAGAGAAAAAAGTGTTGTGAGAATGCTCAATGCATGACGGGCTCTCATTCAACGATGCGCATAGAACCCACAGCAACCTGAAAACACAGAGGAAGTTTCAACGAAGGCTCTGCGGAGTTGTATGTAGCAATTGACAGCATCCAACTTCCCGACATTGGTATCGCGCAGATGGATATCTACTTGGCACTTTTTCCGCCCTCCGTCAAGTCACGTGATCGCACGTGAATCCCAGCCTGATCCTGCCAGATTCACTTTGTATACCACCTCAGAACGTGCTTACATATATCTAGCATGGCACTTGGGGAGGTATCCAGTGATCACGGGAAGGATATGAGAAATACAAGGCCGATCATATTTGCTGGAAAGAGTCATTTCATTGTGATCGTCATTGTCATTTCACCTTTTGGCCCAGGGCGAGACCTGAAGAATATCACTAAAGCCGCCCCTTTGTCGTTGGACCCCCATTTGTCGCCTGCTCAAGCTGCACAGCTAAATGTACATGGAAAACCTCCCTGAGTCGAGATGAAAAGAACAGCATGCGACTTTTCTGCATGTTTTATGTACACTGACCATCAGGACCATCCCATAAACCAAGCACAGACACCCTACCCTTTTGGAGGCATTCCTTTTTTCCAGCTCCTCGCAATGCCCATGCACAAAAATGCCTTGCCCTTTCCAGCGCGCCGTTGCTTTGTCTCTAAAAGCAGGGGTATCTATCGAAAATTCGAGCCAAGTTCCTCATCGTTTGTAAAAGAGCGTCGAAACTGTCGTCACTGCTATTCGTATGTATTTTACTGGAGTTCCTGGATAGGAGAGAAACGTTAAAACCTCTTGTTTGTAGAAGCTGGCATCATCATTCCGTCATCTGAGTCGTCATCGCCGTCGTGGTCGTCATCGTGGGTTGCATTCTGCCAATGCTCAAGCGCCGGGCCGCTGGCGACTTGTGCAGGCCGTCCATGTTTGGTGATTGTGTCCGCGGTGCGCATGAACTCAGGAAGTGGCTCTTTACCGAGGGCCGAAATATCTCTGGGTGCTTCCGTATATGCTGGACCCAGGAAGCCTTCTCCTGGCGGTGAAGAGGCACCCGAGATTATTCCAATGCTCGGATTCGACATGCTTTGCGAGACACTGCTTGCACCGTAGCCATCTAGAGACGAGGCAATGGTACTTGCCGACGGTCCTCCTTGAATAGCGTTTGACCCGAGGAAGAAGGCCGGTGCTTCACCCGAGACCTGTGTACGCTGTCTCTCGAGGAAGGCAATGTCGTCCGGGGAAGGAGGACATTCATCGGTCACAACGCTCTGCGGTTTCGAATCAGCCTCTGTGGCCGCTTGAACTTGATGCTGGACTTCCTGTAGATGACGCCGCTGATTGACTTCTTGAGCTTGTTCAAAGGCCTCTTGGCTTGATGTCGGTGCTCGAAATGATGCCCTATAGTCACTCTGGGTCACGATATGTGGCGTTGGCGGAGAACCGTTCTGCTCAGCGGTTAGAGCGGCATCACGAAGAAGATCAGGTGGTTCAATAGCACCTGCAGCCAAAGCAGTGCTCACGGCAACGCTGGGTTCGGCGCGTGCATCACCTTCGGAAGACTTTCGGCTTGACGATGGGGACCGCTCGTCTCGCGGAGACCGTCGTTCTCGACTCCCAATGCGTCCCAAGGTCTTTGTAGTCCCTTCCCAAAGCCCATCGACTCTGGCTCTAAAGCCTCTGTCGAGGGAGACAGGTCGTTCGTCACGCGCTAAGCCTGAAGACGGCAAGGGTAATCGCTGCAGTTGCGAGGCCCTAATTGTCTTGACAGAATCGGCCGTGGAGAGGGTTGACGTTGCTCTGTCAGGGGCAGGAGGTCGTCCTTCGCGTATAGCCACGGGAGTACAAGCCGACGACGCAGCCTTTTGGGTGGAAAACGACTCACTGAAATAGTGTTCCTGTCCGGCCGAGTCTGGACTGGCAGTCTGGCTTTGTGCCAGCGGATGCTCGGTGGCGTCTCTCGAAGTTTTCAAAGCCGTCAGAAGTTCGTCGCCGCGCAGACTAGATCGACGTGTATCACGTATCTTGTCTCGCTCAGTCTTCCCAACAGTGCTTGTACTGGACCCTGCTGGCGAGGCAATGGAGTCGCTCGAGTGGCTAGCCGATGTGGCTGTACTAGGAGCACGCTTCCGCGTATTGCTCCTTCCAAGCAAATTGCCTGCGATTCGTCCAGCTGTGCTGAGTGCACGCTCAATGATGTTCCTCCTGACGACTGCGTGCGACATTTCCCTCTCGTCCACATCTAAGATTTTCTTCTTGCTGTCTTTCTCTAAGTCAGGATCATTGATCCATTGTGACGGATCTTGCAAGCCCTCGACAACCCACTCATGCTGCTTGGCTTGTTCGATTGTCATTCTCTTTGCGGGATCCTTGATCAGGAGTTGACGAATGAGGTCGCGCACCGCATCTGGAACCACCTCGAATTTGAGTTCATAGTCGAGTCTTTTGTTACTATTGATGGAATTTGGCACCTCGGAGGTTGGCTTGTCTTGAGATGTGTCGACCGGCACAAGTCGAGTCCTTGGGAGAAAAACCTCGGTCCGGCATACTGCTTCGTGAAGTCCCATGGTTTCAGTTGCGTAAAACGGCAACCGGGCGTATACCATACAGTAGAGTGTGATCCCCAATGCCCAAAGGTCTAGTGCGCCAGTGATCTTTGGGCCTTCGTTTTCTTCAAACATGGCTGGATCTTCATAGCAGAGTTCAGGGGCCCAGAAAGCAGGCGTCCCCACGGATCTTGCTAGTTCTTTCTCGTCGTCTAACGCAGAAACATCATTCTCGGTCAGCTTGTAGTCAGGGTCCTCAGGATCCTTGGGATGCCCGAGGTACGACACGCCAAAATCAGATATCTTGACAGTACCGTTGCTTGCGACCAGGAGATTCGCTGGCTTGATATCACGATGGATGATACCAATGAAGTGCAGAAACTGAAGGCCGGAGAGCGTATCCCGAAAGGTCCGACGGGCTTCCTCCAACGTTAGAGCTGGAACATAGGCATGCTCGTCGTCGGTCTCGTCGAAGTTCCATTCGGACGACATGTGAGAGAGCGCGCCAACGCTAGCGGCGATGCTGAAGCTCCGACCACGGTACGCATCTGGGGCATAAGCGCCATACATGCTACCCGCCAGAGCCCCTTCCGCATACTCATCATGAGAACTAGTTCTGCTGGGATTGCTGGACTCGTAGAAGTGGCGGGAGGCAGAACGAGAGACCTCGGATAGCTCCTCGTCCTCTTCAAAATCCTCGCCTCCGTGCTCGAGGCTCCAATTCGGGGTTGGGTTCGTGTTTAACGTGCGGGCTTTGTCTTGCATCTCATGGCGTCTTTTGGCTTGACTGACACTGAAAAGGTCTCTTTCAGTGGGTTCAAGTGAAAGCTCAATCCCAGCCCTTTCTTGCTCGAATCTAGTATTGTTTACTGCCAGGACCTCGCGGACTCCTGGCTTCCTCCACTTGATTTCACCCTTTTCGACATACTCGAGAATGAGGTAGACCTTGTTCTTGTTGGGGTCGTCGATGACTTCCAGGAGACTGACGACGTTTGGGTGCCTTGCCTTTTTGAGGATGGCCACCTCGCGCTTTGTTCGATCTTCTGGAGTTCCTAAGCGACCAAGCCGCCGCTTGCCAGAGTATCTTGGGACGATCTTGACCGCTACGATGGTGCCCCTCTCGACGTCTCGGCCGAGTTTGACTTTACCATGTTCACCACGTCCTATTTCCTCGATGATCTCGTAGTTGTTGACGAATTTATTACCGGAGAAATGATCATGGTCGATCTCGACGGTGTGGGTTTCTTTTGGAGGTTGAAGATGGTGTGGTTGACGTTCGGCGTCGCTGAGAGACGAAGCCGACGGAATTCGGTCGCCCGAATGCAGCAGACCTGGACTCGACATCGGAGTATTGTCTGCAGTCATTGCGGCTTGTACGCTAGGCGAGTTGCGTTCACGACCTTGCCTAGTCCACGTGGACATTTCGTTGTAAAGAAGATTTTGGGCCGGATGCGAGCTTCTCGTGCGGAGAGGCCGCGTTGGCCGTGGGGCATGGAACTGAGCTTGTAGTGCTTCAAATGACTGGATAGGATAGGTTGGGTGCTCGTTGTTGGAAAGACGAGTTGAGTTGGCAAATGAAGTCGAGAATGATTTAGAGTGAGAAGTCCGGCGGCCGCGAATTTGGCCGTGGGAGGATTTAGTCGACAGGGCGCGGTTTATAAGTGAAGCTCCCGAACCAGGCGACCGGTCAACGTCGCGCTCAGCGAGAGCCTTCAACGAGTTTGAAGAATTCTGGGTCGACGACGGAAGGGATTGCTGGGACTTGAGCGGGGCAAACCCAGGCGACGCTGCGATCCCATACTTTGAGTTCCAGTTCAACTCGTGGAACTCATCCTCATCCACTGGATCGGGGGGGTGTTGAGCAGAAAGAGCGGTAGGAGTATTTCGTTGAGTGTCAGACTCTGTGCCGCCGAGATTTTGATATACGTCTCCCGACAGGACGTCGTTGAAGCCGGTCCCACGTCCCTCTTCAGTGTCCCCGATGTGACCGCCAGTGTTTACAGTGTGAGAGGCTCGTTGCAGATCAGGAGCCCATTTTATACCGACGTTGTCTGGCATTGCTCCGGGACCAAGCGTGAAAATTCTTGTCCCGTCAAGAGGGCGCTGGACATGGAGAGACCGTTCAGAGGACAGTCCCAAACTTCAGCCGTGAACGCCTCTACTCAAACACCAGCCCTGGGGCAAACACTTGTGACTGCCATCTGAACTCTTCTTGATCCCCAGAATACCAATGTCTTTCCCCCAAAGACCTGCCTGAGGTGGACAGGTTGTCTTGGGAGAAAGAAGTGTGTAAGGCCAACAGCAGCTTATAAGTGATTCAGAGACAATGTGTGAAAAAACCCGTCAAACGGT